GGGCGATTTGGTCATTAATCGATGCATCTGAGATTCATTCAACTAAAGAGAAAGAAAATCCATTTCCATTGAGATCCATCCGTTCACACTCGTTGGATCGGATTAATATCAATGAAGATGAATCTAAACCATTGATTGGTGGGGATTCTGAAAAGATTGTCAATGCAGTGACACGGGCATTTCTTGGATCAAAAGCCGTTCAAGTTGCTTTTTATTATTGTCTTCGCCAACGTGCAGAAGCTGCAGCATGGTCTTCTGGTATTCAGGTGATTTTTATTTTATTAATCTTTTTGCTTGTTAAAACAAGTCATTACTTAATAATCTAACTTTTTTTCTTATCAGATAATCTTAAGGTGCTGTTTGCATAACGCCTCAGTCACCGGTGTTTTATGCGGTTTGCCTAGTTCTTTACCTGTTACCACAGTTGTCAGTGGAGGTGGCGATAACACAATTATTTCAGAAATCTTTTCCATATTATCTCTTTGTGCTTCTTTCGACAGAGATCAACAAACAGGAGACCAAAACAATCTGAAAAACAAACTACCAAATCCACATGCCCTAATCTGCCATTCATGCCTTGTACTTTCCGCAGTCGCACAATCCTTAAAATCTTCCGGAAGAAATTCAGCTCTGTTCATGCTGACATCATCACCAAAAAAACAACGTTCTCGCCTTTCCGACCTCGCACACCATTACTCTTTATGTGATCGAATTCAAAATTCATTTCAATCACATTCCATGTCCGCCATGCTGGCACTCGCATCCATTTTGTCCCTCGAAAATTCTCCTTCTGTTGAAACATCAATTTCCGAAATCGCCGTGCCTTTAATTCCACGGAGTGCTACTCTTTGTGATTACCTTAGGATTTCAACACCAGATGGGAATGGAATGAGAGGGAAGCTCTCGTATTGGAATGGAATCAGAGATGGCTGTGTCGGTTTGTTGGAATCCAGACTACGTTGGGGTGGGCCTTTAGCGATTCAACAGCTATGCGCGAGTGGAATCCCCCAAACACTTGTTGATTTATTAGGAAATGATCAATTAGACGATCAGATCGGGTTATCTCCAGTCGGCGTTGTATGGACGGTTTCGTCATTATGCCAGTGTCTGCCAGGTGGCAGTTCCACATTTCGACAGGTGTTGCTAAGAAAAGAGCATGTGAAAATTGTGTCTGATTTAATATCGGTTGTTCATCTGAAAGGTATAAGGTGTTGGGGTGGGCCTGGTGGAGGGCGGAATGGAATCAGGGATACCGTGAACGCGGTAATTGATCTTTTGGCGTTTCCATTTGTTGCTGTGCAAAATGTGCCGAATTCTTCTTCAGCTGTATCTGCTGCTGCTGCTTCGGTGAATAATGGTTATCTTTTAAATATGGGATCTCCTGGAGGGAAGGTATCTGCTGATGACAAGGACATGGTTAGAGCAATTGAAGCAAGCATGGGAAAATACATTCAAATCCTTTCTGAGGTCAGTTTTTATATCTTACAATTTTGTCCTTCAAGTTAGAATGTTGTGTAATTTTAGTTTAATATTTAATTGAAAAAAATACATTTTTTATCCCCAAGTGTAGCTCTGATTATTGCACTTTTGGTCCCAACATGTTTTCTTTTGCAATTTAGACCTTATTTGAGGTTCTTGTAATGTTTTTGGCATATAGTATACACTCCAAGTAAAATGCTACAAAAACCTAAAATAAGGACCAAAATGCAACAGAAAGCTTTTTGGGACCAAAGTTGCGAAAATCAGCATAATTCAGGGACCAAAAATGTGATATACTCTTATATATAATGATTTTTTAACTGTAATTATTTGTTACTTGTAACATAAAATTATTATACACATTAAATTTAATTTTCATGTTTTGAAGTTATTTACTTTTTTTTAAATAGTTTAGAACACAAGAACATATTAATTTATAATAGATATTAAATTTAATATTAGTTTTAGTAACATGATAATTAATTTGAAATCAAGTATAGTACCAATACAGGCAATATATTTTATTGTTTTTACATATAATAGCAGTGTACTTTTGCTTCTTTACCCTTAATAGCGATGTACTTAGAATTTTTTTTCATCGATAATACCAATTTGCAACCCAAAACTTGTAAAATGTAAATTTTTTTCTTCTCAGAAGTCATAATAGCACCATACTTACATTTACATTTCCTTACTTATAATATTAATATGTAACAAATAAAGTACATTTCCAATATAAGCATGTTGCTATTATGGGTAAACAAAAGTACATTGCCCATATTGCTAGCAAAAGCATAAGCGTGTTGCTGATACTCACGGTTTTCCCTTAAAAAAGTTACTGTGATGAAAAAACATGAGTAAAATTTGTGGAAGCTAATATTTATAAGGGTGTTAATGGAAATGGTCTAATCATCATCATGTGATGATTGTTTATAAATTTACATTACAGGTAGGAATTGCAGGTCAAATAATTCAGTGTTTGGAACACATGGAGTTAAAAGACACTGCAAGAGCAGTTGCATTTCTAGCCAAAATGACTCTTCATAGATCACTTGTTGTTCAACTCCTTGAAAGAGGTCTCTTGGATCCAAACAAAATGAGAAGGCTGCTTGACTCCTCATCACCACGAGAAGTCACTCTAGATATTCTCATGATCATTTCAGACTTGGCTCGTATGGATAAGGTAAATATTACATATCATATATTTAGTATCTTATTTAGAAATATATATATATTCCAAAACATATGATGAATGCAATGCAGGTTTTTTATGAGCACATACATGGAGCAAATATCTTACATCTCTTAAAAGAGTTTCTAACACACCAAGATCCAAATGTTCGTGCCAAAGCTTGCAGTGCTATTGGCAATATGTGTCGACATAGCTCCTACTTTTATGATTTATTGGCAAGTATCATTATTTTCTTTTTTTGATAATAAAATTAAAAACACTTTCTGTCTGATAAATGATATGTGTCATACATATTACAGGCAAAGCACAAAATCATCAGTCTCTTGGTTGATCGGTGCTCTGATGGGGACAAACGCACTCGTAAATTTGCTTGTTTTGCAGTAAGTTGCCGTTTTTAATTTTGCATATTTTTTATAATCTTTATTTATTTTTGTATATAAACTGACGTTTTTTAATTGTGATTTTAATTATAGATCGGTAATGCAGCATACCACAATGAGATGTTTTATGAAGAGCTGAGAAAATGCATACCTCAACTTGCTAGTTTGCTGATGTCAGCAGAGGAGGACGATAAAACTAAAGCAAACGCATCTGGTGCTCTCAGTAATCTTGTGCGCAACTCCAACAAACTTTGTCAGGATATTGTCTCTAAAGGAGCAATGCAGGTATAACATAAAGTTTGAATATTATTATATGTTCAGTTATACTTTCGGTCCCTAAGTCACTATACCTGAATTTTGTCATTTTGGTCCTTATTTTAAGTTTTTTTTTTTTAATGTTTTTGGTCCGTGTTCCAAGTAAAATTACTATTTTTGGTAGCAAGGACCAAAAATGTTACAGGAACTCAAATAAGGGCCAAAATTACAAAAGAAAACCGGGCCAAAAATGCAATTAAGATGTTTTTTTTTGTATTAAGTGAAAAAGAAACAGAGTGATTGATTGATGTGTTGCATGCACGCAGGCATTGCTGAAGTTGGTGTCGGACTGTTCTGTTGTTGCTCTTAACCCAACGAGGAGAGATGCAATTAATGAGTCTCCTCTAAAAATAGCTTTGTTTTCATTAGCAAAGATGTGCCAACATCCACCCTGTAGACAATTCCTTCGTTCTTCTGAATTGTACCCGGTGATTGGACGACTCCGCCAATCACCGGAATCAACCATTGCCAACTATGCTTCTGTCATTTTCAACAAAACCTCCTCTTAACCCTAAAACTATGCCATGTTGGCAATCTGTGTTTGTTTAAATAGCTTTTCACTATATCAATACATCAACTCTTTGTTAGAACTAATTTTGCTATTGTTTCAAAACTTTTAGTAGATAAACATGTATAAAAAAACTTTATTAAAAATTAAAAATTGGATTACTTATGACGTTTGGATAAAGGTGAAATCTGATTGGTTGAATGTACTACTTTACTGTGTAGAGGTTGATTCTTATTTCTTAGTGATTAAGCTTAATTTTTGCCGTTTGATTTCACCCTGCCGACTGACATCACACGTGCTCCTTTTCTCCACCCTTTTACACCAGTCGACATATATATGCCAAAAAAGTTCATATTTTTTCTTTATTTAAGAGTTAAAGACAAAAAAATAATAATAACATACAAGTATTTTTACTATTTTATATGTAATTTTTTTTATGGGAATCATTTTCTCTGGCTATCCTGTTTGATATGAATAAACAATATACAAACAAGCATATTTTTTTAGTGATCAAACATTTTTTTTGACTGGTTAAAAAAGAATCAAATTGTCAAAAAGCTTTTAAGGTTAAAAGTAAACAACGTAAGGTTAAAAGTAAACAACTTATAATAGAAAATGTTTAAGGGGGTGTTTGGCTTAGCTTATCACAATCCAACGTAAGGTTAAAAGTATCCAAAAGTCCTTTTTGGAAAAGTTACAAAAAATCAGGTTTTCCTGACTTTTCCAAAAAATTCATTTTCCTTGTATCAAAACTCCAAAAGTAGCTTTTAAAACTAGTTTTGCCAAATATCTTTAGCTTTCTTTCTTTTCACTTTTGACTTTGAAAAAGCTAAGCCAAACACGACTAAGTGGTTAAGTTAAAAATACGATTTAATAGTTGAATGATTTAATGGTGTAAATATTGTGGTATTCAATTAGAATAGTAAAAAACAACTTTAAAACATAAGTCAGTAGAAATTTCCAGAATATAAAAGTGATTGGATTAGAATTTGGATATCCAAATATTTAGTGGATCCCACATGGCACTCCCAAGTCGCACCAAACTTCTTCGTCAATAAATACGTGGCTCCAACGCCTTCCATTCTTCCCTTTCTCCCTCCGGTTCACCTGGCTCAAAACTTATCATATGATGACGTCATGTGAGTTGAACCCGGGTGAAATCCATGAGATGCTTTCCCTCCTCCAGTCCGACCTCAACTTTAACTCCGGTTCAGGTTCCAGTGATCAACCAAGGCATGCACGGATGATCTCCAATCGTGAATCAGCCAAAAGGTCAAGGCAACGAAAGAAGAGGCATTTGGAAGAACTAAACCACCAACTAAACCAGTTAAGACATACAAACCGGCACCTCAAAAACCGGCTCAATTTGCTTCAATATCAATGTCCAACTATTCTCAAAGAAAACCACCACCTAGGCTATGAATGCATTCTTCTCCAGTCAAAACTATCGGCTTTATGTCAACTTCTAGTCAATATGCATGCAGTTTCAATGGATGTCAATCACCTAGCAGACTATTGTGTATCTGAGTTATACGTAACTACTTTTGGGTTGTGATAGACTGCATGTGTGGCCAACTCAGACGTTACTCGAAGAATAGCATTTACGAATAAAACTAATTCGATGATCATTAAGTTACCACTTAATCATCATTTCAAAATCTCCACCTATCTACGTAAGTAAAGGTTACTAAATATAGATATATACCACTAGTGAGTAGCGACTAGACTCATGCATGCATCATTTAATTAAATTTGTATTGGTTAATTGTACGTACAAGGTTCCAAAAAGAAATGCATGAATATCGACATGCTTTTCTTTTTGAGACAATATTCATCTACAGTCATGTAAGGTAATTCCTTTTGGTTTTGTCGTCGTTTTGTGTTTTTGTCATTTTAAGATAGAGAGGTAGGTTAAGGTACGTACCTTGTGAGTCTTTGTCTTTTATTTGTTAATTAAACGTACATGTAAAATATAACTAATTAATAAGTGATGTCGATATATGATATAATCATATGAAGTTTAAGTTTAGAGTAAACTGTTAATCTGCTCTCTAAATGTATAGTCAATATGCATTTTTACTATATGTTAGAGTACATCTCTTTTTAAGAAAAAATTAAGAACTCCAACTATCTAATACATAGCCCTAATTAAGCATAGTGAAAATTGACATCCTATGCATTCGTTTAGACTTTAGGGAAATTTCTTATTTTCTACCAACTTGCATCTACATCCTTTCTTATATATTATTAATTTCCGTTATGGAATCATCTTCTTTTTGAGACATTGTCACATTGGTATCCCTAGTGCCGTGCCAGATGTCGTCAAATTAGAATTTATATATATATATATATATATATATATATATATATATATATATATATATATATATATATATATTGTATTAATAAGAGATTTTCCCTTTGAAAAGAAATTCCACTTCCAAAAAGACTTTGGTATAGATGTTTGGTCAAATTAAGCAAACTTTATACGACTATATATGTATGGGTTCTTTTTATTCTTGATTAAGGTTAAGAATCGGATGTGGATTATGGGTGACCATCTTGACCCGATTGTCCGAACCGCTATTGTATCTTATATTTCAGTTCGGTAATCGGTCCTAAAAATGTCCATTGAAAAAAATTGTATCTCTGATCGGTTTTGTACCAACTCTGCACCAGTTCGGAACTGAGCTCACCCCTATTGTGGATCTTAACAACTAGTGTTCTCATGCTTTTGATGATTCAAAATTTATATGAACCTCTCATACGATACCATGGAAAACTTGTGTATATATGTATAACAATTGTTATAGAATATACACTCAAGAAGAGACAATCACAAAAAGATATAAAGTGGAAAATTAAGAAGTGGAAAAATCATTATAAACCTTCAATAGAAGGTTACAAAAAAACTTGAAACATTGTTGCATAGGACGTTGATTGAATGAATAAAAAACACATCTTAATGACTTCATTTATAATCTTATATTACACGGAGTGTCCTAAGTAATACAAGACATAAACATCCTAATTACATGAAAAACTTCCTAATGAACGGTGTGACTTGATAGCCAATTAATTAACCAGCTTAATAGAAATTCGGCTCCCACATAATATAAAACGTGCACAACTATTTGAGAAAAAAAAACTACTTATAAGGAAACCAAAATAAATGTTGCAGAGAATGCAACACTTTTAATAAAAAGGTTGTGTTAGCTTCAACAGAATAATTACATGCAAAATAGGGTTAAGAAGCACATTTACAGCAATATTATTATCTTCACTCACATAAAAGGTGCGTCCACGGTTTCTTAACAGAAATATAAAAACAGTTAGTATGGGTGTTCGCGGTGCGACGTGGTGCGATTTTAGCATCAAAATCGCAAACCGCAAAACGCACTGCGAAAGATTTAAAGTGCGTTATACGGTGCAATGTGGTTTGATACAGACAGTTGTACAGTTTGATTAGCAAATTTTAGTATCGCATTACTTTTTTATTAGATCTACAAACGTTAGGGTGAATTGAAATTTATAGTAAAACATAATGTTTGTTTCTTATATTTATTGTTTATAAAAGTTATGAATATTAATGGCATGTTTTGCAACAAATTTTGACAGCTTATAAGAGTTTAACTTTTAGTTTGAATAATTGTTTAGCATTAAAATTCCTTTTAGCTTGGTGTTTTATTTAATCATCAATATTCCTTTTTAAATTTTAGTTGAAAGTAACACCACATATTAGTTAATTGTATGTTATCCATTCAAAAGCTTTATCGATTAGTTTGACTACATAAATACATCATCTAGCTAAAGGTAAAAGGCACAAAACCCGTTAACATGTTTTTTTATATGCAAGGTGATTAAATGGATAAAAACATAAAATACCAGAACTTTGGGTGATACATGTCACATGGCGAAATAAGACACAATATTCCATGAAAAGAATGTATACAAAATATTAAAGATATTAAAGTTAAATACTCGATTAAAGGATATTTATATTTTCTTCAGGTGTATGCATTGAATCTGCAGGTATCTTCGTTTCATGTGTGATCTCAATATCAGTTGAGTGGGAGTAAAAGCAGTAGAATCTTGTTGGTAACATGCATATATAGTTGCATACATTATTTAATGTGGAGGGGGCCTCTTACCAATGTTTAATGCAATTAGTATAAAAGCATGCATGAATGGGAGTCAAAATCAAATCAAATGACTAAACAAATTAGGGCTTAATTGGAGAAAAAGTTTCTAATCCTTCGGCCACAAAAATAGAAAATAAAAGTTAGATTTGATACATTGAAAGCTTAACACAAAATTTCTTTAAACACCAATAATGATATCCTATTATAATAAAAAAAAACCTTTTGATTGACACATGTCATATTTTTATGCATAATAATGTCACATGTCCTTTAGTATTATTTATTTATTTACTAGTTTATAACCCGTGAAAACCATGGTTATAAAATTAACTAAACTTTCATATTAAAAAATCAAAATTATTAATTAATTATTTTAAATAAATTATTAATTAAGAAATACTTTTTTAATTATATAAAATTATAATCGTTGATTTAAATAAAGACGTGAAGTTATATCACCTTATAATCTGTATTAATTTATTTTTATTTTTTAATCTAATATTGTTAATTTAATATAATTAGAGTGAAAAATTTTAAAATTTGAAATTTAAAATGGAGAATCAATTATTAATTTAATGTAATTAGAATTGAAAATATAAAATTTGAATTTTAAAATTGATAATTAATAGGTTGACAAGTGGCATGATAGGTAACATAATATTAATGAAGAGTTCTAAGACCATCTCCAACCCACTTCCATTTTTTCTCTCAAAAAATGGAGTAAAAAATAAGATAAATAGTGTTTCATCTCCAACCCTACTCCATTTTTTACCTCAAAAAATATATTCTAAGTATATTTCATTCTTCCAACTTACATAGGTTGTCAAACACACCCTCTTTACTAATTTGGTTTTAACAAAAATATAATGTATATTTTTTTCATTACAATAATATTAAAAAAATAAGATTATATTTATAACACATTTATAAGCTTTTGTAACATTATCGTTTTTTAAAATTTCAATATGTATTTAACTTTTTATAAGAATTTGATGAACAAAACACAAACTTTATATTTATAAGACAAAATTGCAAAAATGGTCCCTGTGGTATGCATTTTTTTTGGGGTTTTGGTCCAAACCACGAGTGTTTTTGGATTCGTGGTCCTTTTGGACTAGTTTCATTGTAAAACTGGTCCCCGATAAACTTGAAAAGACGACTTTTCCCTTTTAATTTGTTTTTTCCATTTACTTAGTTATTTTTTTCTTTTATTTAAATATAAATGTTAAATCAAATCAAGAATGGGACCCACCTGCCCCCTCTCTCTCTCTCTCTCTGAAAAAAAACCCACTTCCCCACCATTGGCCACCATTTGACAACCAACAACCCCAACCTCCTCTCTTGTTCAGATAATCAACCACCACCACCATTTTTGTTGCAAGGAAGGCCGGAAACCGCCATCCACCACCTTTACCGGCGAGAAAACCGCCCACAACCACCACCACTGTTGATTCCGACCACCACCGAGTTCCCCTCCTCCCCCACTCGTGTCTCCATCCAATTAAAACAGAAGCGAAGCGACAGAAGGCCGTCAGAGCAGCCCCCTACCGCACGCCACCGCAAATCGCTGCCATTCGCTGCTGCTGCCGCCGGCAGCCTCCAGCCACCGTCGTCCGCTGCTGCTGCCGTCGCTGGTAAGCCATCCACCCCCTCATTCCGTGTAGATTGGTCGTTTCCCCTTAATCCGTTTCATCAGTCGAATCAAGGGACGAAGGTCTCAATTTTTTTTCTTGTGTGTTGAAGTGGGTCTGTAAATCATGAGTTGGAGAATGGTGGTGCAGGTAAGGAAGAAACAGAGAGAATGTTCGAGAATGGTGGTGCAGGTAAGGAAGAAGAAGAAGAAGAAGGGGTGGGGAAGTGGGTTTTTTTTCCAGAGAGAGAGAGAGAGAGCATGTGAGTCTTATTCTTGATTTGATTTAACATTTATATTTAAATAAAAGAAAAAAATAATTAAGTAAATAGAAAAAACAAATTAAAAGGGCAAAATCGTCTTTTCAAGTTTATCGGGGACCAATTTTACAATGAAACTAGCCCAAAAGGACCACGAATGCAAAAAACTCGTGGTTTGGACCGAAACCCCAAAAAAATGCATATCACAATGACCATTTTTGCAATTTTGTCTATTTATAATTAGTTAATATAATTTAATATATAACAAAATATTATAAGTATTAAATATTACATTTAAATTATAATTAGTAGGTAAAAATAAATTAGAAATGTATAAATATATAAACATAGGGACTAAAACCGACAACACAAAGTTCATCCCCATTTTGGGTGAAATGAATAGTATAACACTATATTTGGTGTAATACTATTTATATCCCCAAAATGGGGGAATAAATGGGGGTGAGTTGGAGAAGAATGGAGGAAATGAGGGAAATAATGGAAATGAGAGTGGGTTGGAGAT